GCACTATCAAAAAAGTTTGGAGACCACTGTTCTAGATAGCATTCCCTGATGATAGCGCACTCTTAATAGCACAGACTGAGATCCTGAGTTTTGATCAGTATTCTATCAGTCAATGCAAAAATAGAGAATAGCTATCAAGTATACTTAAAAGAACCACTGCTGTTGCGGAGAGTTGCTATAACCTTCCCATACTGCATGGATTTCCCTGGTGCCAAGAATCTCCTGCAGAAATAGCATGTAGCTGCTGTGGAAGGAATATGAGAATAGGGCACGGCAGATCTGCCGAACCAGGAGACTCCTGGCCAAACATTGCCAGCCTCATGAGCTCCTATTTGGGGATCAGCAAGAAACACAGCATTGCTCCCAAACTGTGGTCTGAACAGACTGTGGGTTTGTGCACTCACACAAAGGAAACTGCAGTGGACGCGTGAATTCTTCAAAAAAATTCCTGTGAGCACCTCTTCTGTCTTGCTGAGATTTCCGACCCAAGAGCTGATACCATTATTTTGTGTCCTTGAAAACTCAATCAAATGAGTGTGATGATGCAGTTGGGTGACCGGTGCTAAGTGCTCTAGCATTAGCACCTGCTCTTGAAAATGTAGCCTCCCTAGATTAAATCAAAATATTACAAAGGTGCCAACTGTAATTTTTAAAATCCATGTGCATATATGTGTCTGCAGGGCTTTTTTTTGTTTAACATAATCAACTCAATTATGATATATGCCTCATTTCTAGGAACTTACAGAATACACTGACAGAAAGTCAAGTAGCCACTTTGATTTAATGTCAATAGTACTATACCTTCATCCATTCTCTCACACATAAAAACAATTAAAAGTTTTCCAGTTTACTTACAACTTCCAGAAAAGCCTGAGTAGTTACACCGAGGTAAGCCTGAACTTTTCCTGACTAAACCAGGCTGTTACAAAGCATTAGAGTTCACATTTTAGCAATATTATAAAAATGTTTTTTCCTAGTGAAAATAGACATGCCTTTCTGAAACACCCATTTGGCAACAACAGTGTTCCCCACAGCAACATAAGGCTGTTAAGATTCAATAGGTTAGGACAACAGCCCGTCCATATCACAAAGAGGAGGAAGAGGAGGAAAATAAAGGATGTTGAGCAAGAATACTTGAGACAGGCACCAGAGGTGCTGATGCTTCTAGGACACGCTCCAGGTCCATGCCATGGTGAAGGGACCAGCCACCAGCGTTTAGGCAACACTTTCCCTGACACTAAACAGGGTATCCAAGATGGCCACGGCCATTACTACTATTATTATAATTTGGATAGGGGAATGCAATAGGCATAAGGTCATCAACACTGGATGTGGGAACCCATGCAGCACTCTGTGTGGAGAGGAGCGTGGTGGCAGTCTGAGGGCTTTGATGGTTTGGGGAAATGTACGTTAGGGACGGGGATGGCACGAGGGCAGTACAAAGGCAGTCAGCATTGCTGTGGACTCCTTTTCTTGCTTGCATTAGCCTGTTTTGGGAAAAGAAAAAAGGGAGCATTAGGTCAGGCAATGGCTGGTGAAGCGGGCAGGGGACTTTAGTATGGACAAAACAGAGTGTCAGGGCCCCGAGCCCACTCCCATCCTCCCGGGGGTTTGGCTGCCTGGGCTCAGGGCCAACTCAGAGATAGTGCAGCTGGTGACCTTGGGGAAAGCTCTTCTGAAAGCGATGCAGGGAGGCCTCGGCCAGGGCTGCCCCTCCTTCCCTCGGGACCTGCTTTGAAGTTGAGTCTCTTCCCCTTGGTCCCTGCCTGAGTTACACTGCAGCTGCACTGCAGCCATGCCTGTGCATTGCCTGCCAAAGGCTGCCAGAAGAAAAGATTTGCATGCCCATGTCTGGCATTGGCAACAGCAGAAACTGCAATGTGCCACAGAGTACATCAGTAATAACGTTTGAGAGTGCTAATCCTGTTCCTTACTGACTTGGCATTACAATTTTGCTGACAGATTTCACTCAGTTTAAGGAATTTTCGTTTAAATTTGATTTTCTGAGTGTTTAAAGATATCCTGTAAAAATATTTTTAGGAATCACTTGAATTCCCTCCAGCAAATATAATTATGGCTGCTATACAGAATTGCAGGATTAGCAAAGTGTGCCATAATAAATCAGTTTGTGTTGTTTCCTTATCTCCTCCCAAGACAGGGATTCACAAACATTGTCCTACAAGGAAGACATTTTAATAAGCAAAATTTTCAAGTTTCACTCCTGTTCACCACTGCATGGACTAACTCTGCTCGGTTGAGGTCCTGCAGCCCACGATAACTGTAATAATTGCTTGGTAATTAGTATGAGGAAGGTTTAATGGAGATAGATGCTTTCTATGAACTTTGGTAATTTAAGACAGAGTACCACTGGCCCACTGGCAGACTTACAAATAAGAAAAATCTGTAAGATCATCTAGAAAAACAAAATATGGAAAGTAGGCTAAAAAGAGAGGGCTAAATTGGACTACCTGAAGTCGGCTGTCAGAGCATTAGGGGGAGGCTGCAACCTGACTGAACAGGCACTGATCAAAGTCACAGGGAAAGTGCAGTTGTTTAAATACCCAGAAGAGGAGCTTCGTTCCCTTCCTGATTAGAGTGTATCTATCTTTCACAGCTCGTTCACTCCCTGATAAAGCACATCTGTCCTAGCTGAAGACTGAAAAATACAGGACTACTATGGCGAACCATCAAAGAAACAAAAGACGTGAAATACCAAGAACATACTATTTTTTCAGTCATGTAAAGGTTGAAATCCAGCGGCTTTTGGAGCTGACCTCCATTCAGAGTAGACACCTAACCCAAAGACAGACAAAAGGATCAGAAAGATGTGAATAAGAAAGACTAACAAATCTTAGGTAGAAACACGCTAGGTTACTTTAAAAGAGGGCTGGAACTAAGAGGAAATGCCTTGTATTTGCTAAGGCCAAACTGGCCATAGCTGTAGAAATACAGAAAAAAATCCCTCCATCGCCTGAGCACTTGGCCCCAAGGAGTCTTCCAGTCCTACTTCAGAAAAAAAAAAAAAAATCTCTTTAGCAAAACTCTGTGTGCTTTCTTCATGGAAGCACATGAAAACACACTTATCTAGAGGTAAACACATGCTCAAGTGCTTTGCTGGGAAAAAAAAAAAGTATTTTTCATTTAGGCTGCAGGTGACTGACTAAAACAAACAGCAGTGCTGTCCATGTGTAGAATGAAAAAAAAAGAAAAAGAAACAACAAAAAACAACTGTGTGAAGCTACAACATTAATAAGATTGGAATAAGCAGAACTTCTTCCAAAAGAAGCAATATAGTTAGTAGTCATAATAGCAATAACAGCAGTGGATAAAGCACAATCTGTTGGTAAGGATGTCTAGAAGCCCAAACCTGAAAATACGGGAAAAGACAAGCTAAAGACATTAGGAAAATACTAAAAAAGAGATGAAAGCAGAAGATAAACTCTACAATGAATCTGCCACACAGCAACAGTTCACCAAAGACAGCGGGGGGATCCCTGAAAGAAGGGAAGCCAGTGCACGTCCCCTGGCTCTTCCCGGCAAGGTGATGGTGCAGCCAGAGGAGAAGGCTCTAGGACAGCAAGGACACATCTGGAAAGACTGGGTGACAGGGACATCAGTTCACAGCCAGACAGATAAAATTCTTCTCATAGGCCTGTGTGTAACTGGACCCTCTAGGTTTAAGAATAATGGGAGTCCTGCACATGGTGACTGTGATAAAATGTGCAAACTGCGAATGAAGGCTGGACCCCGCTCCACGACGTGAATCTCCCCCAGTAGTGTAAAATCAGTGTGAGACAGCCCCGAAACAGACCGTCCCTCAGCTGAGGGGCAGCAGTGCCACCCCGCATCCAGGGCTCCCTGTGCATCTCACACCCTTTAAAGGAACAGCTGAGGTTCTGGATAAGAAAATTATGGATTTAATTCACTGTTAGAGCTTTTCACATCATTTTGCCAAATAAGAAGGCTTTAACACCTCTGAATGCTTTTGAATTGTTTTGTATTGCCAGAGCGATATAAAAGTACTCAGTATAAAAGAGAATTGAGCCAGGAATGTGTAACAGGAAAGGCATGGACATGTCTGGAAGAGCTATAATACCCACAGCGCATGCAGGACTAAGTCATGCGCTGGCACTCCGCGCGCAGACAGGTGTGCCGGTCGGTGACATTATCGTTCTTCCAGTTGTTTCTTACCGCTCCTCTGCTGAGAGCTTCCACCCCCGCAGCTCTGTTGGCAGAAGGAATTAAGTGAGCGCTCCCTCGCGTGCTTCCAACAAGTCAGATGGATTAGTCAACGAGGAGGGTTTAAACCAACCTGCTCGCTTTGCCTGAAGCAAATGAAAGAGCTCTTAAACAAACCCTTTTACCAGCAGAGCTAAGGCAGTAGTAACCACAGCATCAAAGGGGTAGCGTGTAGGTGCAAACTGGCAAAAGCTTCAAATAGCACAGTTAGATCTGGAACGCACTGTCTGTCCATACCTATACAGGTACGCACAAGCTATAGCATCTTATATGCACAACACCTGTCCACGTGTATATTTTATTCAGCAGCAAATACGAAGTTAATGCAATTACGCTGAAAATTCTTTCCCCGTGGGCTAGGTTAAGGCATGTTATCTCATACTCGCTGTGTGCTGAGAGCGTGCAAGGGAACAGTTATCAGACGATGGATGGTAAGTTTTAATTCATTATACCTTCCTAACCTGTCTAAGGTCACAAGGTGTGGTTGTGCAAAATTAAGTAGTTGACCTGAAAAAGGTTGTGATTTACCTTTCCAAATATCGCCCACAAGGTATTCCAAGAGGAATAACTGCACAAACTCAATTTGTAATGTGGTTTACTACAGAAACAGCTACTGCTTGTAGTCCAAACATTCTGCTGGCATTTTACAAATGTGCAAGTTTCCATTGTTGGGAATTACACTTTCAAAAGTTTTCTCTAATTGTAATCTGGAAGCAAGGATTGCAACATGAACAGATGTGCCTGTGCCAGGTTGGACGGCAATGAAATCTCCGCACACGAGCATTCCCGAGGCACTCAGTGCTCCCGAGACAGCTCAACCGCTGCCACCAAAATCTACTTTGGTACGTCTACTTCAGCAGCACCTGAGCATGCAGCGTAAGCATAACTTCAGACTAGGGATGGTGTTGAGGCTTCCGAGTCCTTCCTCATGAGCTTTGATCATTGTATTCTCTTCCTGGCACTTGCTCTGTGCAGCAGCACAGTTCATACTACAAAACGACAGCTTATACTATTTATTTTCTACTATGATCTATTTTTCCACTTTTGGCTTATGAGGACAAAGGCGCGCTCGTTCTTGCCCCAGTAATAAGGCTCCGATCCCGACACACTCACTTTGCTGTGTGATCCCTGCAGCAGATCACCCTGTTCTGCAGAGCAATGCTTTTGCTTGAGAGACAAAACAGCCTCCTCTCCTACCAGTGAACTTCTACCTTCCAAAATCCCTCAATATGCAGGAGCATTTGAACTGAAACTTTCCTATTCTCAGGAATACAGATTTCCAATCACGGAAAAACCATGTTAGTGGAATTTGAACTCTTTGAAAAAAAGTCTTGAATCTTCTTTACTGTATGAACATACGTCACAGAGAGGTGCTTTAGGGATCGGACAACATCCCATCGGTTTTAGAAGCTATCTTGGAAGAGTCAGCCCCGTCATGAAAGTGTTTCTTAGGTCACAGCAGGAACTACGATCAGTATACACTGGAATTGCGTGGTGTCTCTTACGGCATGATCTATTTCTCACTCATTTCTGTAAGAGTTAGATCAGACTTAAAATACTCTCCTCAGCAGCAACAAAAGGAGAAACTGGATGTGTGTAACAAGCTCACTACCCCTATGGATAACACACTGTCTCTAATCAACAGGGTACTCTACATCAGGCATCATACAAGTATGAGAATTTAATCCTCAGAGTCTTGCACAAGTGGTTTTATCATCTAAAAGCAAAAGATCCTATTCTTTGTGTGGGAGCCTGCAATTTGTTCATTAAAACCCTGATTCAGCTGAATATACAAACACATATTTAAATGTTTTGGTGGGGTGGGCTTTAAGTAGTATTAAACGTGGAATCGATTAGTGACGATATTCACCCACAAAGGAGTTTTATAAACCATTCTCCTCAGATATACATGCAGCTGGAGTGCTAAACAGGATTTTATGCTATGCTCACTCCCTCTCACAGCATTATGCCCATTTCATTTTTTTTAAATATCAGACTTTTAGATCCTGGAAAACAAAAATAAGTGACAACTGCTGCCTTCCTAGGGTGCATCCCCTGCACAAACTACTACCAGTGACTGGCAACTGCATAGTATAAATTTGGGTTATTCTAGATTTGAAGCAAAATGCCACACTGCAGCAGCCTATATAATGTGATGCATTGATTATTAATTCCACTCTCTCACGTGAAGCACTAGCTTTTTGTTTGCAGGAAGCCAAATCAGTCTATGATTCTTTCCCAATGAACTGTGGGAGACCTTTGTGTCTTTCCGTAACGCAGTGAGAAAGAAGCAGAAAGAACCAAAGGACTATCAGAGAAATACAGAAGCTGCGTGTCGTATCTGGAGAATTAGATTTCAGACTGAATAAAACGTCATTTGCTATCTACACGACTAGGATGGTTAACCACTACGGATTTCTTTCCTATACTGTCCCATCAAAGAATGGAAAAGGAAAGTGATTCTAGCTGTTGTCCAAATATATGAACTTCAGCAGTAAACACTACTGACTCTCAAGAGACCATGGGTGAAAAAGGTGTGTTAAAAAATTACCATGAGGTGCACATCAATGATTTTTTTAAACTACAAACCTTAGTAGCATGCGGGTTTGACAGGGGAACTGAAAATCAGTTGATGAAGAAACAGTGAACTAACGTTTCTACAAAACAAAGGCATTTTTGCTACAGCATCTCAGGACGCTTTTTGAAATATTTAGTTCCATCATGAATATAATATAAAACCTCATTTGCAACAATGCAGTCTGAAAACAAGAATTTCTGCAATGAAGATTAAGGGGTTTGAAATTTTTTGCTAATTACTCAGTGACAAAGAAGCGTTATGCAAAAGTTAAGATTGCCTGGGGAGACCTGTGTCCATGAAGACACTCAGTAAAATGGAATTACCAAACAGACCAATACAACCTCAATTCTGGCGTGACAGAGCCATTACAGACCAATTAAATTAGCCACAATGATTTGGTTAAGTTCCCTTTGTTGAGTGCACTGCACAGCGGTGGAATCCCTTGTAGCAAGCTGACAAAGCAAAAGCTTGATGAGACGATTTGGGAGGAGCTACTACCAAAGGTCTTCTCGGCAAACAGTCCAGGAGAGTCTGAGACGTTGTCCCCGAGCAACCCAACCGACTGTAACTCTGAGGTTGGCCCTGCTTTGAACTGAGTGAACTCCGGAGGCTTCCTCCAATCTAAATTATTTTATGATTCTATATCGATTCGTGAGCACTCTAGATTACCTGCTGCAATCAAATAGCACTTCTTTGCACTCCAAAATAGAGACCTATAGCTCATTATCCTACTGTTCCTCCTACGTATCCTATCCCAGCTCATTCCTGGATGTCCACTGCGTAGGTTTTAAACGTATCTGTCCTGGGTGCAGGTTACGTTCCCGGAGATCACAAGAAGTCCGTTCTGTCAATGTGAATCCCAGCAGGGATCCTTAATGTAAACTTTCTGCATACACTCACTGCAGTCTGCACTAGTTTAAACATTTAGTAAGAAATAATCTACACCACCGAACATTTCTTCAAAAACAATGTAATTTTCCAACAGGTAAAAAATTTTAATATAGGTAAGTGCTGAGGCACCAGTCAGCTGATGAATGCTGACAGGCAAGGATCAAGCGCCACAGGAATGTAAAAACATCGATACATCACAAAGCCTCAAACTTTACGAAATACGGGTCTGTTTTGCATTTTACGGAGGCTGCATCATGGGAACCCTTTGCTTCGATGGACCCAGGTCTGAATCGCTATCTCCACCCTGTGCCCCAGTGAGGCACAACAAATTTAAAAATTCTTTATCTCCCATCACTCCTCTGCCTCCTTGCCTAAATTTAGACCATCTTTCCTCCCCTCCTGGAAATCCGATACTGCCTTTTACAGTTTCTCTGTTTCTCCACAACCAACTCTCCTCTTCCCCCCCTGAATTTTAGAAAGATTTTCTTAATCTTTCCAGAAGCGGAAGTCAATTTTCTGCCAAAGGTCTCCTTTTCCTGAGTAACTCTTTGGAAGGAGGAAAGCATTCTTACTTACAGAATTATTTACAGCGTTTATAGTATTCTCACAAATTCTTCTCAAAAGTTTAAGTGAAAGTCAACTCTCCCAGAGCCCTGTCAGACCCCTGCATATTTCCAGGCCGAGGCACAGAGGAACAGAAGAATACCTTTATTACTGACTATATGACATTACATGGCAGCTGCAGCACCGCACTTCTTCACCTGGAGGACTCCATAGCCCTCGCCCTCCAACACCTTCGGTTATCTGTTGCCCTGGGCCTGGCTGGGATGGCGTCCATTTCCCTCACGGCAGGTCGCTCGGGGCTGTGGTTCGGATTTGTGACGGCAGAGCATCAAGGCCCCTGCTGCTTCTCGCTCTGCCCCGCCCGGGAACAGCTCGGGGGTGCGCAGGAGGCCGCGAAGTGACACAGCTGGGCGGATGAGCGGGCCCACGACGGGGATGCTCCACGCTGCCCAACGCCACGCCGGGGAGCGGAGCGGAGGGGGCGAGGGAAGCCAACCACCTTTACTCAGGAGCCGGCCGGGCACCGGCCCGCCCGTGGGAGGCGGAGGGCGGCGGCCTCAGCACCGCCTGTTCCCTTTTCCTTCCCTCTCCCCCGCCCCGTCACTTACCGGACTGCTTTTTACCTCGACCCACGACGTTTTGTTGCTTTTCCTCTTCTGCTCCCCCGCGCCAGCGGCTGTGGGGAGAAGGGAGCGAGCGGCGGCGCCCCGGCGGCCTGACCCCCCCTTCGCC